TCTCTATGTAAGTAGTGAAATCAACCAATTTGCCAAGCGGAATCTTCTTTGTCATCTCTGCACTCGCATTACCACTTAGAACAGCCATTCAAACTACAACGATTGTGAACAAATTTGGGAAGTCTAATACCCTGGTCAAAGACATCTAACGAAAATAAAAAACCTATTGAAATGTAAGAACGAGTAAAGCAATGAAGAAGACCGATGAACAGTGGTCTTTTTTTCTCTTTTCTTACTAGGCGTGGTAACACGAAACTTGCTTAACGGGTCGCGGTGACAGCTCTGAAATGATAAGACCTTTTTCTACGAGAGAAGAAACAATTTAGCACCTTTAACGTGATTAGTCGTGCACCGTCGTGCCACCGCACTAAATGTGGTACACATCTTGTTACGTATGAAATGACCGCTTCCACTACTATACGGTGTACCGTATCGCCATGCATCCAATTAGTGGACGCGTGTTTCTTGTTATTCGGCTAACAAATTTTTTTTTTTGGCAATTTCTATCAATATATACATTATCATACATTTGTTTGAAAATATCGCAATTCCCTAGTTACATGACCACATATACCGTAAATTAGTTGTTTTTAATTTTTTTTCCTCAGCCTAGGCCTTTATTTTCTCCTACGTCCTTATATTACATTGAATACAGATTTGATTGCATCATTTTGTTGTATGTTTAAGAATTTAGTTTCTTCTAAAAAATGAATTGGTTTATCGTAGCACATGTTTTATAAACAGACAAAATACGAGATCAAACAAATTTATCTTTTATTTCTCGCTCAGTTTTTCTTCTTTTCTTCTACATCTCTTAACAACTCAGCTTCATTTGCAAATCCACATGTCTTCTTTTTCAAGCAGTCATGAATCTTTCACTTATTTATCCAGTTTTGTTGATGGCATTTTGCAATGTTCCTATTCCATTTCTGCATAAACAAATCGAACTTCTCCTTGGTATACCCTTACAACTTGCACAGTTTGAACGGTTCATGTAGCCCTGCTCTTTTGAATGCATCTAAAGCTTTAGCCTTATCCTCTCGAAAACATCCAATGCGGAATGCATATTTAAAAGCCTCAATCCCAACTCTTGCCCGGTTAGTCAACTGTTCTCTGTCCAGTTTTTGACTATTTATTACTCTCTTAATTCTAGAGCTTTTAATCATTTCTAACAAAACTTCTTCTGGTTGTTGGTCAATGTCTTTGGTTGAGCTAGTTTCACCAGCAGCGGTTGTCTTCATCTGTGGGTCAACTTTTGTCTTATGAAATTTGGCCGCATGTTCTCTCTTAGCGCGCATGCAGTCCAATTCTTTGCTAATGCATATTAGTTCAGGCATAGGAGTTAGCAAACAAGTCTTTGTCTTCTACAGCATTCGTCTACATCCCGATTAATTTGCGTGCCTCTTGTTATCTCTACTTCTTCCTATTGCACTATCATTTGCTTTATCAGCTACCATGTCCATCAACAATAGCTTACCTTCAATGCAAATCAATTTTTGTTGACTTTCCTTTCCAAGTGCTGAAACTGCATTTGACACGTTTGTTGCTATTGTTCTGGAATTGGCCCTCTCTTACTCTACCTTCACTGCTAATGATTTAACTATAGATTTTAGCTCGGTCAGTTCAAATTTTGTCTGGCCCAATTCAATCGCAACATTATTGAATGCTTCTTTCATATCAGCGTTTTCATCTGCTGATTTAAGTACTGATGAGTTAACATAAATTGTAAAGTTTATATATTCACTCTTAGTCTTATTGAATTCAGTAGCAAGATTATTAACCAATGTTTTGAAAACTTTGTTTTCTTTTGCTGATTCCACTACAAATAACTGGATCAAAGCTCTGACTTCATTAACTTCCGCCTTTGTGTCGCTCAATTAAAGTCCAACACTGTTAGCACTACTTTTCATGCCTGTACTATTTGCTCTTTCCAGAACACGTTGTGCAATGTCAGGACACTTCCTTTCTCTTGCAAAAGGATTATTAGTGTTCACTATATTGTACAGAGAAATAGCATGACTGTTATGTTTTTTAACCGTTTGTTTCCTTCTTCGACTGGTTGATCTTTTGGTTCGTCTTCGCTCTTTTCTAGAAGATGAGCCGATTTCACTTCTTCTTGCACGGACTTTTCATCAACGTCTTCTTTACATATCCTGGAACAAGCCAACTCTTTTGGCCCGTCTTCGCTTAATTCCCAAACATCAATGGGATTAATTTTTTCGGGAACAAACGCTTTAGGAACTTTCTCCCAGTTTTGCCCAGTCAAGGCACGCTCTTTTGACTCTGCTTGCTTTTCTTCTGGAACATGCAAGCGATTCCATTCATCCGGAACAACCCTGTACTGAACTGTATGTTGAACCTTTTCAGGACAAAAGTCTTCTTCTACTATAACTCCATCCTTTTCCAAAATAGTAACAGATTTTTGTTTTTTCACAGAAACCTCATCACAAAGTTTGTTTTTATCATCATCAGTTAATTGCCCTGCTTCGTTGGCCCCATTATTTGATGTCGCCTCAGTAGCTCGCCATAACTCTTCCAATCGCTTAAAATCAAATAGGCTGACATACAGTTATTCCGCTATCATTTTTAAGACAGCATCTTCGATTCTGTAGATGTCCGCAATAGTTCCGGCTTGAATAGTTGACCTACTTCTTTTCCAACACCACCATTTATCATTCTATGAACAGTTGATACATTATCAATTGTTAATGATGCAGGGTCTGGTACTGTGCGCGGGCACCCTTTGGGCTACATTCTCGTACAATATTTCTGCGTCCACTCAAAGAAATTATGTGTAATTAGCTCATACAAGAACAAACACTACAAGAAAAATCACGAATCGTGACGAAAACTATTCCCTCGCAACTTATCGACGGATATTGCAACGGAATAGTTTCCGTTGCAAAGTAACAATGGAATTGGCGACGGAAATTGATTCCGTCGCGATTTTTGACGCAATGACAAAATAAAACCCGCAAAATCTTAGCGACAAAATATTCACGACGGAATTGCGACGGATGTGAGTTACGTCGTCTATTTAGCAACGGAAAAGGTGACGGATTTATTTTCCGTAGCGAATTAGCGATGGAAATTGCGACGGATTTTGTTCCATCGCGAAAAAATGAATTTGTTGTAAATGAATAAATATTGCAACGGAATTAACGTTGGAATTTATTCCGTCGTAATTATGTTTTTTATTTTTAATTCAAAACGACGGTAGTTCAGTTTTTCTTAATAGTTAATAATTATATGAACATTACAAATAGAATCTCAGCCCTAATTCAGCCTTCGCTCTCCCAGTCCCTGCCCTCTTGTTCTCAAAGCCGAAGACCGCCGACCAAATTGCACAGCGCATCGCCATCACCGCTGCAACCTCGCACCCCCTGCTCCACCGCGATCTCGCATCATCAGCACTGTCGCGACCTTCCACCGCCAGTACCGTCGCGACCTCTCACCGCAACCTCGCACCGCCAGCTCCGTCGCGACCTCGCACCACCATCATCATCGCGACCTCGCACCGCCAGCTCCGTCGCGACCTCGCACCGCCATCATCACTGCGACCTCGCACCACCAGCTCCGTCGCGACCTTGCACCGCCATCATCGCCGCGACCTCGCACCGCCATCATCGCCGCGACCTCGCACAGCAAGCTCCACCGCGGCCTCATTAAGTATGCTGTATGTCAAGTTTTCATCACACCTAAATTATGTTTATTTGTGTAGGTAAATTGAGAGCAATGTCGCCGAAAAGACGAATTCCGAGCTCCTCTGCTGCTTCGGAACCGAGTGAAGTTCCTAGTGTTGGATCATAACGGCCTGGGAAAGCCACTGCCAAGGAGAGTTCTTCGAGTCTGAGAAAGAGGTTTGAACTTCGTTTATTCCTTTACCTCTTTTACACTAATTTGTTTAAGATATGTTATGCATGACTCACTATTTTGTCTTTGGTGTTGTAATTTGATTGTTTTTCTGAGCTTGTGTTATGCATGATTCACTATTTTGTCTTTGGTGTGGTAATTTGATTCGTTCTCTGAGCTTGTGTTATGTTATGCATTATTCACTATTTTGTCTTTGGTGTTTTATTGATGGAATGTGAAATGAAGTAAAATTTAGAATGAGTAGGGCTTGGAACTTGAGTAAACCATGACCTCCAAAAAGGAGGTAGCAGCAGCTTAGTGGCACAGGGGACACTGTTTATAAGAGATCTTTAGATTGATTCACTTTTAAAATCATAATTTCTCTAATAATCACTTCTCCATGAAGAGAGAAGTTTTGTTCTTTAATGTTGTTCCCATCAGTATAAAATTTTCTCAGAACATCTTAGTATTTTGCTAAATGATCAATAAATCTTGTTTGTGTTAGATGTTTTGTCTTTTATCTTTTGTACCATAATTATCAAAGTGATTAATGCAGGATGGCTAGTCTGTAAAGTTTAGTCAAGTTAAATGTTTCATGTATTAAATTCCTTATCTTTTATTTTATGCCATCTGTGGATCAAAATCAAACATGTATGTTCAATGGTGGGTATGACGAGCGAAGTCTTGTAGAGCCACCCATTCACAGACAGCCCCAAGTTTTGTTATGTTCTTTTAGTGTTTTGTTACGCTATGCAACTTTTAAATGTAGACGAGTGCTGTTGAGAGTGGTGAAAATGGATTTGAAGTTAATGTGGATGATATTGAAAGTGTAGAGAAAATGACTGTTCAACAACTTAGATTAAAGCTTAGGAAAATGCTATTTTAGGAATATTGTGATTTCAACTGGAAGTTCCTATGTTTGTGTGTTTACTTAGTTATATTTATTAATTGTCACCTATATTGCTTCTGTAACCCTAACACTTGTATGGAGAGTAGAGCTGAATTGAAGAAAATAGAGTCTAAAGAATTTTCGTATCAAAATGCAAATGCTTTGATAAATGATAATACTCACATGACCTCTGTCACTCTTTTGTTTGTGCTGAGCTCATCTCTTGTAATCTTGGCATTTCCACACTCCTAAATCACAACACATTATTTGATCTTCATTTGTAGTTTCGATATTGGTTGTTGACTTCATTCAAGAACTCTTGGCAAATGACACAGGTCCCTGTTGCTTACTTGAATTACTCTAATCCCTTGGCTTGTATTTTTAACTATTTCATTTTCAAGAACTCTTGGCAAATGACACAGGTCGTTGGCTGTTGGACTTGGATGTGAGGTAACATTGGTCTCTGCTATGACTTCTCATGTGGATAGGGCATTGCCTCCTCCTGATAATATTTCTGCATTGTTGTAAGTTTTTTCAACTTTAATACCTTGCCATTTCATTTTGACAAAATGCAGTAAGTAACTAACGTTGGCGAATTTACTTATCTTCCTAGTCAACTGGAGAATGGATGTTCTGGAGTGTTTCAAGATCACCCAAGGCATGACAAATTGGTTCTCTTTACAATAGAGCATGCATTTTTCCTTTTGTCTTTTCTTGGGTAATTATGATTAGTGTCAATATTCTCTAATTAGTAAATATGTAGATAGTTTGGCGAGTTGTGGTCTTAAATGGAACCCTGCAAGTTGAGCGAGGAAACAAAGATGGAAAGCATGGCTACTTGGTAATTATAGTCTTTTACAGTTGCAAACATTGTTTCCTTTAATTTGAGCATGCAATTTTGGCTCACAACTCCTTGCAATAAATTTCATTCAATTACAAGAGGATGCATTTTTATTTCAGTTACAATGCAGGTGATTGCCATTACTATTGAAGAGCAGGAGGATGTTGCAAAATTCAAAGATTACCACCCTTCAACATCAGATGCTGCACCTACTCCAAAGGCCCCCCCTCCACCACCCCAACCAAAAGAAGAGGTTGCTAAGGAATCTCTTACTTCTTCACAACCAAAAGCTTCTAAACCTAGCGCACCTCCAACAGTTCGCATTTTTGCTATTCCTCTTGCTCGAAAATTGGTTGAAGATCACAATGTATATTTTTGTGGCTATTACGATGTTTAGACTTGAATTGGCTATTATTATGTATTAAATGTGGATTGGTAATGTATTATTACTTGAACTTAATGTAGAATTATGTTATATTTTATTTTAGAATTAATAGTATTTTTTATATTAATATTTTACAAACATTCATTACTATTTAAAAATAATAATTTTATTTCAAAATAATTCATAAAACGTGACTGAATATAAGATTAGTGACGGAATATTCGTTGCAAAAAATGCGACGGAATCACGACAGAATTTGCAACGGAAAAGATAATATGGTGACGGAATATTCAGTTCAAAAATAGCGATGAAATTAGCGTCGAAAACATTTCCGTTGTGAAAATTGCGACCGAATTGCGACGGAAAAATTCCGTCACAAAATGGCTACGGAACTATTCCGTCGCCTATTTTTGCGACGGAATTATTCTGTTGTCTATCAAAATACAATAAGGCGATAGACGACGGAATAAATTCCGTCGCAAAACGCGTTTCGCGACGGAATTTTACCCATTCGCGACGAAAAATTTCGTCGCGATTCGCGATTTTTCTTTTAGTGAAATTTAACCACAACTATTCCATATATTGCGGTTTCACACGTTTGTTACTAACATTTTTTGCATCTTATCATGTTAATCGTTGTCCCTGCAATAATAACCCTCCAACTATATATTGCTTATATGTATGTACTTTTTGTCCCCCCCCCCCCACCCCCCACGTTAATGGCATTAATTTTGTTCCGTCAAATGGCCAGTGCTACCAACCGCACCACAAATAAACAATACTTTAGTCTTACTAAGTATTAACAAGCATTGTTACTGCTAAAATGTTGATGATCAGGATTAACATAACTCACTTGATCTTCAGCTGTACAAATGTTTCTTCCTTCCAGTTCAGTGCGTACTTCAGAACAAACGTCTTCTTTTGAAATCATATAATCATTATCTTTACAAGCTTAATGAACAATTTGTCAACACACCGGTCAAGATGTCTGTTTACATGTTCAGATCATGCAGCAACTCTAACTTCGCTTGTATGTTGTAGTGAACCACGGTCTTGTAAATTCGTATCCACACTCGCACCGGCCTATATTATTATACATTCATTAGTAATTCAACATTGGATTACGAGTCAAATATATTATTCAGGCTTGGTTAATCTAAATTAGATGATTTCGGTCAGTGTATCCGAGTTTCACTTCTGAAACTACACTGTTACTTCTGCCTGTTTGCAAGCGTACTATGGAACATTAGTAATTTGACGTTGACCGCCTGGCTTCCTATATTCCGGTTGTTCAGTAAGTTCGGCTTCATCTTCTCCTGCCGAATTCATACATAGCCGAAGTTCTCCCTGAATATATCGTTCTGTGTTTAAATATAAATATAAAGACACTATTTTTGGTTTAATTCAATAACGAAAATAAATTAATGCCCCTGACCTGTTGAGTCTGGGTCGCAACTACTCGTTGATCCTTCACGGTCAGTCTTCTCTCTACAACAATAACATCTCAAATACAGACGCTACCTCGGCCTATTACGTTCACATACCCCGCTCTTTCTTCTGTCGTCATTGCTTCTGCCGAACTTTGATCCATTGCAGAGGCAGAACAACTTCTTTTCTGACCAACGCTTTCTGCAACTATCTTTTTCTTTCCTATCCTCTTCCTGCAGACGATGCCCTTTGAAACATGTTTTTTTTGGCAATTGTTCATGTATCCTCTTCGTTCGCATTTTTGCTTGACGACTTTGTACTTCTACCGGCGATTGACATTCTGCATTATTACAATTCAAGGAAAGTTATCTCTGCCTAATAGCTCGGGTCTAACACTTCACACCCCTAAAAAGAAATTGCTCCTTTTTTAGCTTGAATTCTTGTTCTCTTATATCAATTTTCTTCGACTTGAGCATATGAGAAATCATAATACCACCGAGTGGTTTTATACCAAAATTCACACCTTTGACTTGTTAATCAGATTAACAATTCTCTTCAAAATATGCCCTGCCCAATTAGCCTTCTCCTTACGCAAAATTACTTCCATTGCTCTTGCCCTTGATCCAGTCATATTATCGAAATTACCAATTCGCAATTCCACGCACATAGTAACTATTTCGAATAATCCTTGCATATCTGTTTTCAGAACGCTCTTTTTACAGGTTAAGTCCGGTTCGGGATACTCTGGCCTAGCAATTTTGCTTCACAACCACTTCGAATCGACTACTGGACTGGCTAGATTACTATTACCTGAGCTGCATACACCGATTCGAGCAAAATCTTTGGTCGTTACAGTAATTTCATTTCCGTTCACATTCGCCTTCACACTCTCACTGGTTGCTTGTCCGGTTGCATAAAACTCAACCACAACTTTTTGACAGTAAGCATCTAGGGGTATTCTTAGATAGTCGTACAAGCCGGTACTTTGTACGCATTCGACATTCACCTTCGCAATTTATTTGTCTTCTGCGTTCTCTACGAAAGCAGTGAAATCCACTAATTTACCGTGTTTAATCTTGCGAATCATGAGTTCGGTAACAATAACACTTGGAATTGCCATTAATGTCGAACAAAACCTTGCAAAACTTTTTACTTTAGACCCTTTGTACCAAGAATGAAAATGAAAATGACAAGCCTATGAAAACTGTGATTGCAAAAATAATGTTTAATAGGTTTTGACGAAAATCGTAACATGATAAACCTTTTTGGGAGAGAAAAATATTACGGAGCCAAATTTTATTGTCATGATTGACAGGACGACATTAAATGTGTGGCCCATACCACATCAGTATTACCGATTCCAACCGCGGCTCAGTTAACCATTTCAATTCTTGTCATTACTATAGTACATAAAATGTTGTCATTTCCTGTTGTTAACACAAGTATAGTATATCATATTTTTTTAATAATAAATATGGTATGTTATCTGTTAATCGGAAGTGTTGCTAATTTACGGATTTTACAAAGTTAAACAAACTTAATCAAAACTGTAATACATTTTTTTATATAGGTAAGTCATTTTGTTTTTTCCCAAATCCCACCCGCTATACCTAATAATTATTTTATTATTTTATTATTATATATTAGTTCTTCCATAAGATAATTAATTAAAACAATTTTACTTGTTGTAGATATCTATTCCTAACTCATGAAATACTTTTGAATTAATTAACTACGGAAGCTTATTTAAAGCATTTTTTATATGTTAATATGTTATCTGATTCAGGCTACTTTTTAATCTTATTTTTTTATATATATATTTCGTATGATACCTTCTTCCTCAAAGAATTATTTCAGCATTTTGTTACAACTACGAAACAGACAATCCAGTTGTTAAATCATCCGAACAAAAATGATCTAGTAGGTCGTTCATGTACTGGACAAGAGTAACAATCCAATCGTTCAATAATCGTGACAGATTGACCAAAACATTTTCTCGCAAACTGCACTTTGCAATTATCCTTTAAAGAATAGTTATAGTACTGCATATTTTCAAAACAAACAAAAACAAGCCGTCCTTTTTTATAATAAAAAAACACCGCTTCGCTTGTACAACAATACTGAACCTGCAAAATATACACACACATCTCATTACCATGTCGTATCATACAAAACCATACCTTTCTTTCACTTTTCCAAGTTGCTTTTTGTGTTGGTGTTCATGCACTTGAGTTTTTTCCGCTGCGCTTAAAACTTCTGCTTGATGTGCGAGTAAATTCTGTAATGAAAATAAACTCTGCCGACCGTTAGTTACAGAAACACAGTAACTATATACGAATTCATTTATAACAACAGCAAAAGAAAAAAAAACATTGTACCCATCTAAAGTTATCGACAATTGTAAAACTCGAATCAGCCGGTGATTCATCCAAACGAATCAAAACTGAGTAGTTTTGATTCTAACCCGATTTGCTAGCACGGTACCCGATGTGCTTCCTCCCCTTGTGAAACCATTTCTTCCCGCCTGCTCTGTTGTCCGTTACACATTGGTGCGTGCCTCTCCCGATTATTGTCACCAACAATGTGCCCTTTACCGGTTTCGATGACAGCCGGCTTTTTATTCAGTCTTTCCAATAGTCTTATACCATTGTGAGATCGGCGTCACTTTTGAATAACTGATGTCCTTTGCTTTTTGACCCCAAAAAGGAACTGCGCTTTGCTCAATTTGAAATCTTTTTTCGCCAATGTCGATACGCTGACATTCTAGTATATAAGAAATCATGATCCCAAAACTGCATACTTTTGCACGCTTCGGTCCTTGAACATTCCGAATTATTTCGACCATCCTATTGAAAATATGTCTGGCCCAATTTGCCTTTTCTTTTGGCAGAATAACTTCCATAGCTCTTGCTTTCTTATAAGTTAATCCGTCTACATTTCCTATTCTGCCTTTAACGCAAAGAGTCACTATCTCAAATAAACCCTGCATGTCTAACTTCAAAATTCTTTTCTTTGCTTGTAAATCATATGCATAACCCGGTCGAGCTATTTTCGACCACAACCAATTACCATCTGTTGGAAAAATAGCATAAATTGGCATAAAATTGCATTTTAAGTAGCTATATTGTGGTACAAATATCAGTGGGGTCCACTTCTGATTTTGGTTGGGTCAAAGTGGATTCCGGATCTTCGTAGTGAGACGAAGAGATTGATATATTGTAAGCTCAAAACGGATAATGGGTGAATGAGATATTGATTCTCAAAGTAGACCCATTTGAGTTGGAAAAATGAAGGGGAAAAGCTTGAGAGTAGCTTTTGTCCCACATTAGTTTGTGAAATGGGTTTGCACCACTATTTATACAAGAGCCTTTCTAAAGCTTATTGAATTATAGAGGTTTTCTCTCGCACGTGGGGGGCGGGAAGGTGCACATCAAATCCAAAGTGTGCCTGAAAAGGCTTGAAATCATGTACGCCAGCACTTGTGGGAAATTTTTCCCACAAGTTACTACTGAAGAATCCTACCGCGGTGTACGCACCCGGTTGATCCGTGATAACGTCTAGCGTACTAACCAGTCGGTACGTATCTGTACGGTACCGGTCAGTTCGCGGAACCAGCCTACCGTGGTGTACGCACCCGGTTGATCGGCGATAACATCTACCGTACCGGTCAGTTCGCAAACTGCAGGTCGGTACGTATACGTGTCTCCGAATGCCGTCCAGAGCGTGCTAAGTTATGCCACCTTTCCCGAAAAATTTTTCCCACAAGTTACTACTGAAGAATCCTACCGCGGTGTACGCACCCGGTTGATCCGCGATAACGTCTATCGTACTGACCGGTCGGTACGTATCTGTACGGTACCGGTCAATTCGAGGAACCAGCCTACCGTGGTGTACGCACCCGATTGATCGGAGATAACATCTACCGTACCAGTCAGTTCGCAGACTGCAGGTCGGTACGTATACGTGTCTGTACCGTACCAGTTAGTTCGCGGAACCAAACCGATGCGCGTCTTCCGTTGCGATTCACACCTACCATTTCCAGAACAGTTCGTGTCTGTTCAGTTCAAATGACTGTTGGTAGGATTAATCCAGCTGTTACGAAATTAATTTCATATTAATTCCAATTTTGAATTCTATAATTAATTCCCATGTTTAATAGTCAGTTTTGAAGGTTACAAATAGGTTTTTAACCTGGGTTTAAATGCCAAGAATAAATGTTATTTACATTACCTTCTCCTATATAAGTTTATAGTAGAGCAGCAGATTTTTAACAAGGGAATTACATTGTTTTAGCTCTCAAAAGTCTTTGCATATACTCCTTTCTTTGCTATCTGTGTTCATCCCAAGCTGTAGTTCGCCGGGTTCATTCGTTTGGGTGCTCAAACGTTGAACCGTAGTATGTTTTATCCTGGGAAACCTAGGCTACAACGCTCCTAGCACTTGTGGGGGGTAGCAAATAAGGTTTTAAGGAAAGAGTGTTTCGCTCAACTCGTGCTAACCACCAACCCGAACCTACACCGTATCCGTTCGTCCTTTCCTCCCAATATTTCTACAAAATAATAATCTTTTTTCGCAGAATTATTATTGGGTTTTACCAATAGATAACCAACAATCTTAAAACCTTATATTCCCCTTTTCTTTGTTGAGTCTCTAATTTCCTAGAAGAAATGGAGAACCCCGTACTACCTAATCAAGGAGAGGAAAATGTTGTTGAGAACAACAGTGATGGGAATGGAAACAACATTGCAAATGCCCAGGCACCACCGGTGAACGTAGGTTAACAAGACGGTGGGAGCACCGAGGGGTATATCCCCACGATGCGGGAACCTACGGTATAAATGGTTCGGCTGAAAAACTGGAGAAGTTCACCGGTTTTGGATCGAACTTCAAGAGTTGGCAACAGAAGATATTATTCTATCTAGCAACTCTCGGCTTGGCAAGGTTCTTGACCGAGAAGGTTCCTAAGTTGAATGAAAAAGATGCTCAATCCGTGATGGCGGTTGGAAGGATTTGGACTTCCTTTGCCGAAACTACATCCTAAACGGGTTGTGTGATACGTTATACGATGTGTATCAAAAGATAAACACATCAAAAGCAATATGGGAAGCCTTGGATCATAAATACCAAAGCGAGGATGCTGTCACAAAGAAATTTGTAGTTGGCCGATTCCTTGACTTCAAAATGGTTGATTCCAGGACCGTGCTAAGTCAGGTAAAAGATTTGCAATTAATCTTCGACGAGATCCGTGACGAGGGCATGGTGCTAAGTGAAGCTTTCCAAGTGGGATCTGTGATCCACTTGTTGCCTCCAGGTTGGAAGGACTTCAAGAATTACCTTAAGGATAAGCGAAAGGCGATGAACCTGGAGGACAAGATCCAATGACTCAGAATTGAGGAGGGGAACAGGAAAAATGACGGGAAAGGTCCTGTCTTTGATGGAGCTAGGGCCAACATTGTGGAGCACGGTAAAAGCTCCAAGAGGAACAAGCGGAAGCTTGGTCCAAAGGGAGGCGTTACCAAGAACAAGTTTCACGGTACATGCAATAATTGTGGCAAGCCTGGCCACAAGTTCTCTGAATGCAAGGCTCCAAGGAAGAAGAACAAGAGTTCTGAAGCCACCGTTGTTGGAGAGAACAGTCAGAAGGAGGTCGAGATTAGCCTTTCGGCTATGGTGTCTTAGGTGAACCTCGTGAGCTCTAATCCACGTGAGTGGTTCATCGACACGGGTGCAACAAGGCATTTATGTTGCAACCGTGAGATGTTCAACACCTTTGAGACCGTTGAGGGCGAAAAGGTGTGGATGGGAAACTCTGCTTATTCTATTGTAGAAGTCATGGGCAAGGTGGTTCTAAAGATAACTTCCGGGAAGGAATTGACGTTGAACAACGTGCTGTATGTTCCGGAGCTGAGGAAGAATCTTGTGTCTGGCATGCTGCTAAACAAGCATGGGTTCCGCATGGTGTTTGAGTCAGACAAGGTTGTCTTGTCTAAGTTAGGAATGTTTGTTAGTTAAGGATATGTAACTGATGGGCTTTTTAACTTCAGTGGAATTCCTGTTATTAATAAAAGCAAAGTTAATTCTGTTTATTTGCTTGAGTCTTCCAATTTGTGGCATGGTAGACTAGGTCATGTTAATTTTAATTCTATACGTAGATTAATTAGCATGCACCATATTCCTAATTTTCAAATTAACACAAATAACAAGTGTGAAATTTGTGTTGAGGCAAAACTAACGAAAACACCTTTCAAATCTGTTGAAATGCAGAGTGAACCACTAGAATTAGTCCATAGTGATTTATGCGATTTTAGATCGTTACAAATGAGAGGTGGTAATAAGTATTTTATCACGTTTATCGACGATAACACTCGATACTGCTATGTGTATTTGCTTAAGAGCAAAGATGAAGCCATTGATAAATTCGTTCTTTATAAGAATGAAGTTGAAAACCAACTTAATTGGAGGATTAAGAAGGTTAGAAGCGATAGAGGTGGTGAATACGAAGCACCAATTGGTGACCTCTGTGCAAATGTAGGTAACATACACGAGCGTACGGAACCTTACGCACCTC